CTTGACTCTTTTACTACTCGAAAATACCACAAAAAAGATGATAATTAATAAAATTCATTATTAATAACGCTCATCTAATTGACTTCGAGCAATTTATCTTTAACGTCGTTTTTATAACGAATGAAAAAATGTCGCTTATTAAGTTAAAATGATTTATAAACGACATATTTTTTAAACTTGTTTTTCCTTAAATCTCTCAAATTATCTATATAACAATATATCGAAATTTCGACTGTGCCACAATCGAAGACTCATTGCAATTAAAATTACTAAAAAGACATAGCTCACTATCACAAAAAGCTAAATAAGTAAATGTGCTAAATAATACATGTATAAATATATATAAATAAATACATGAGTAAAACAATTCTAATTCTAAATATGCATATAATTGTCGTCAGTTGTTGATTATACTTAGGCCAAGGGGAATTTCCGTCAGAATTGATAATGAATTTCCACGAGAAATGCACGAGCATATACACATTTCTATGCTTGACTCATATTGGTCCAGTTAGAAAGCTTAATTACGATCCACAGCAACCGACATTAGTGCAATGACGAAATATAGGCAGCACATTAAAGTATGTTACATTATGTTAAAGTATGTTACACGAGCAATGTTCCAACTTTAGTTAACTAACTTCAGTTAGCCGTACTTATCTACGTCGCAGCCTATTATGCATATCAATTCTAGCACGCAAGTAGGGAACGAAAATTTTAGATAATTACTGTAAATTAGAAGATAAGGCAGATCTGTTAAAAGTAACCTTGAACATTGTTGCACTAAACGACAAATATACGTTGCCAACGACAAATATTACATTGTGCTTTATGACATGTATATTATCAATTATATCCTTATAAAATAAAAAGGGACGACCAGTGTCGCGATCTCGGACGAATCCTGCGTCCGGTGGTCCAATCGAATTGGATCGCAAGATACCGCAAGGTATTATATCGTAAAGAACGTATCTGGATCAATGTGACTCAATTAGTGTGATACAAGTTGGCATTCATAGTCCATCATTATTTGACAGATGATCATGAATTTTATGATAGTTAATTTCATGAATCTCTAATTACTCATCAGTCTGTTTACAAAGCGGCATAACCTTGAAGTACATGAAGCTATACATTTCTAGAAAGTGCATAATGTATCTCTTATTGAAAGTCCTAAAATGTTATATCTTCATGTGTTGAGGCTGTTATGTCGTATATCTGCGTATTTACTTCATGCAAGTAAGTATGCTGATGTAAGATGTATTTACCTCATGCAAGTAAGTATACTGATGTAAGATGTATTTACTTCATGCAAGTAAGTATGCTGATGTAAGACGTCGAAACCGGTCTAGGAATACGTATTTGCAATCAGTTATGTTTTCAAACAATAATTGTAAGTTATTTATGGTTATGAATAACTTACAATTATAAATATAGTGTTCTTAGAATAGTCACACTCGCATAAAAACCGCGAAAAAACTTTTACTTTTTTCACTTCACTTTAGACTTAATTACATAATCGATTATAACGTACGATGATGCGTCAACGAATGCTATGTCGGAGTCACCTTGCTGTCATGTCGACATTTATACATCTCTTCTCATTCTCGTAAAACACCGATATGACGACTGTGTGCACTTCATCAGACATCATATTACGATCAGCCAGGAGTTCGTGAAAATTCACGGTGAACCTTCCCACACTCACTGTCGATGGCAATTTCCGCGCCCTAATCGTAATTTCCAGTGGCAACTTGCGTCGACCAGGCCGAGACACTCGTGTGCAAATAACAGTAAATAATCGAATATTCGGAAATTAAACACTTGAAAATTTCAATTTACTTTGCAATCAGCAGCAAAATAGAGTTTTCTCAGAAACATCATGTACAGGATATTGCACTTGCATACAGATCAGTATGACAGGTTGTCTATCCGTTTCGCTGATAGTTTTGCTGACGTAATTGTGCGCGATATCAGTAGGCGGAATGCTCACTTGCGCGCTTCTTTTCCTATAAGGTTTACGTTCCGAGTGAGCACTCCGCTAAAGCCTATTAAGGTTCGGGAAGCTTCCTATTAGCACTATTCAACACTACCGTGTTATTCTACCCTTGTTGTATATCTAAGGAGCGATAAAGTTAGAAGAACGTGATAGCGTTGATAGTATGCTTCCCGAATGCACATGCCTACGCACGCCTGCCAGCGAAATGCATGGGCAACCCATCATACTGCCCTGTATGTAAGTACAACATCCTATATTTTTATTTCAAGGCGAAAAAATTCGTTCCCCCATCTCTCAGATTTTTGTGATCGCGACCCAAGCTATTCGACGAACGATAACACACATATAGATATTTCGTGAAGAACAACACGACACCTACAATTGTCGATATGTCAATTTCATGTATTACATCGGTTCCACGCGATACGTTCACATTTACCGGATATACGTCGAATGCACGGAGACAATTTTATAGTAATTAGAAGGGAGGAATTACCATTTATTATGGACATTATAGAAATATTTATTATAGGAATATATTAGAATTTTGTAATCTTCTCTCGAGGAATAAATCGATATCCTGCAGTAATTGACCATCCTTTCATTTCATATGTACTACCTATGTTTTAGGAATTAAAATATGTCATTAAAAAGTTTACTACGTTTCTAGCGAAATTTATTAACTAAAATGTACTATGTTTCTTAGCAAGATAGACCTTACTGACATATTGTCTATTTCTGCATTATTAGAAACATAGTAAAATAAAAAAGAATTTATATGAAAAAAGAAAACTGTATATTTTTTTTTGTATGGAAATTTCGATGTGTTATACTCGACTCTCGGTGAATATTTATGATAATTATTCAAATATAGTGTGTAATGTTGCTCATAAATTAATGTAATACAAACCTGTCGCAATAATTTCACACGTATATAACAAGGCGTCCCGACATAACGGGATTACTGATATTTTCGTAATAGTATCGCGTTACTCAAACGACCGCTCGAATAATTAATGGTTCGAAGATTCAGTCGCTAATTAACACTGTTAATTAGCCGTTTGCCACGGGACTAACTAACTTTTCCGAGAGAGCGCCGGTATTTAATCTCGCCAGTTTGCTCGTGAAACTTGTTTTGGCTTGAGCGAATATTCGGCCAACAATCATGTCGCTCAAAGCTGCCTTTATTCGAAACGTAGTTGGCCATAGTTATGCAAAAATGACCTAATCCATATGGAGTATATATCAAGAAAAATGAAGATGAAGATTTGATATATAAATCAGAAAATATAAATAACACTAAGTTTTTTTCTCACAATCATTCAAGAAGCCAAACATAGTCAATTTTTTTCTCTTTAATTTATTCATTGATTTCTGTTGTGTCGGAAGCTTAATCTTTAAAAAAAGTGGATAACAAAACGTAATTAGTAAAAATGACGTAATTAGTAGAAAATAAAAATTGTCTTTTAATTAATTTTAGATGTCCATAAGACTTAGATCTTTTTTGTTTTGGATAGACATATAGACTACCCGTTGTTAAAAAAAAAAAAATAAATAAAAATGGCAATTTTTTATATTGGATCATTCTTGCATAACTACCGTTAATTATCGAAGCACCGTGGGGTAATGCGTAGAAGCGGGCGCACATGCTACTCATTAGACTCTAATAAATATTCAAATCGCTGCATTGCAGACAGACGACGCTCCAGACTTACCTGCGCCGTCACTCGTCTCGCACCCGAACAGACGATTCTCCTGTGACGATCGTTACTCTTAAATGTTAATTTCAAGTTTACAGTTACACGCGCTCAGACACACACACACACACACACACACATACACACACACACGATATACACGCTACAAGTAGCTTAACTGTAATCACGTTAGCATACATTGGTCATCCACCTCATGACCCACTCTTACCTGTCTCTCAGATCCCTGGATTCTATGGGTACGTGAAATGGCGAAGAAACGCGGATGACGGTAAAGGGTTGAGCCGCTGACGCGAACCCTTTTAATCCTTTAATCAGGCGTATTCACCTGTGGCCTTTTTCCCGTCGTGGCACGCTCCCAAGGGATACGTTTATCGGGCGCGCTCTTTACGCGGAAGGTTTTAGAGACTTTAACTTATAATTTACTAAATCCGCCTGCGAGACTGCGGCTTTGTCCACAGTGAAAAGTAACATTAGATATCAGAAAGAAAATTCTCCGTAGAGTAGCCGGCTTGTTTCCACAGAAGTAAAAATAATAACATAATTCTTGAAATGAAATATCAGAATAATGTAATCGCATAATAATTTCTCCGTTGACGAAAACGAGGACATCTTCCTCTCGCTCGCCTGCAGTCGACAAAGTCGAATGAAATTTTCCTACTAGAAAATACGACTCCGCTTAATTGACAGCTTTACAAGTCATTTCGAAATCTTCAGGCTTGAGGGTTATTGAGTACCGATCTGATGCAGCTTCGTATTACACTGTTTTTCTATTTGGTTGTATAGAATTGCATATGCTTATACAAAGTGAAAGTACAAATATCAATGAATGGCGGAGTACATGATGATACACGAGAAAATATTGTAGTAAAAGTTACAACATAATTTTTGTAATCTTGAACCATATAAAATTATGATTGAAATTATTATATATCTATTTAAAAATATGCACATTTGATTTTTTACTACAAAATTATTGTAATTACTGAAATATTTGTTATATATCAAGCAAAGAAAGATCGTTATTTATATAGCAATTAATATATATTACAATTTAATATAATTTAATCGTAATAGTATATTTATATATTTACAATTATAAAATCTTAATATTGTATATATATAATATTATATTTAATAGTAATACACTTTAATCGTAATAATATATTTTATAACTTTAGTACAGCTCAGCTTTGCAAAAAAAACATTGTAAAAAGAAATATAATTTTAATGTAATTTTTACTACGATATTTCTTTCGTATAGCCTATGTACATAAAAATAAAAAGAAGTTTATAAATAAAATTGTTTTATTTTTTATATAATATGTCACATACTTTCCGTTATTTATTGACATTTGTATTTTCATCTATGACATTTGTATTTTCTCCTATGTAATAGTATTTACAATTTTATATAACTAAATAAAAAGAGAATGCAAAATACGAAATTACATTATGTCGGTATCTAACGTCGTCTTAATTTTCTTTGTACAGCATATGAAAGATATGAAGAAGAAATACACTTTACTCTCCTCGTATCTCTTCGCGCATAATTCAACGATTCGGTTAGCAAGGCCGAGAAAAAAGTTTCAACGGCGTTCAGTAAAAACTCGCGTTTCAAACTTCCGTATGCGAATCATCGTTCCGTTGCGCGATGAAGACGTATCGGATAATACAGCCACTGTTGCAAGTACACGCTATGGAAAAACGAAGTTTTTCACGAAAGGGACACGTGGCGAACATGAAACATGTAGGTAGTAATAACGACTGCTTATCGAGACGCAGAAGCGCGTAATCAGTTACGGGGCTCGTAAAATCGTTACTGCCGCGGTTGGAAGGGTCTCGGCCACGTTATATCTTGGCTCCCTAACAACCGCGCCGGATGATGAAACATGGAAATGTCATGCCGCCCGTAGCGAGGCATCGTTTACCTTCCCCGATCTCTCGATCACCATCCGTGGCTTCTGGAGGCTTGCAGGATCGTCGAATAACGATCTCGTAAAACGAAACTCCTGACGCATGTTGCTTGCTTGCCACGCTGCGTTTCACTCCGTTGCGACCCTTTTACAGCACATGTAGGTTTTCGCAGCTCTTGCTTTTGTTGTCGTTCAAACACATCTTATTGAGTATCTCCCTGGCTAAGTTCAGACTCAGCACAGTCTTGCTGTTGTGCAGCCTCGACAACAACTTGCCTTTACTGCCCTGACGTCGCAGCTTCTTGTCACGAGTCTCCCTTAGCCGGATCTGCTTCAAAATCCCGACCAAAAGCTCATCCACGTTGTGCTGAATCCCGCTAGACGTCTCGATAAACTTGCACTCGTGCGATGTAGCCAAATGCTTGCCCTCTTTAACAGAATATAGATCGAAACTTGATATTAATTGATATCAAACATTAATGAGAAAGTTAGAAGCTTAATTATATTCAGCCAATTTCTCAAAATACTTGAGAACAGCCCAAATATCAGCGGATAAATGTAACGATAATACGACAACTATAAGAAAGTACATGTTCGCGTAACTTTCTAATAAATTACTTGAAGTAAAATCTCACTCAAAGTAAGCAAAGATTTACTCTTAGTGATAGTGAAAGTACTGCCACTCGAAATTACAAGAGTTTAAATGAAACTTAGAGTGAATTCTTAATCCATACGAGCAAATATTTTAATCGACGTCAGTGAATTTGAAAGATGGTGAAGCATATCAGCAATCGTTTCTTCTGCGAATTTTCTTCTGTTTTGTATGAAAATATTCACTGGACGATGTGGAAAGGAAAAATTCATTCTGTATAAATAAAAAGTCATTCAACTTTGAATGACTTCACTTGACTTTTTCAACGTAATTTCGATCGAAATATTTTACAAATATTGTAATTTTACATTTGTTACTATGTTACGACGCATTTTGAAAATAATCTTAGCAAAAGGCATGCGAAAATTCTTTATTACAAGAAGCTAAACTTTTCATGTTGATTTAGAGACTGCTGACACTTGGTAGCGAAAGAAACTAAAGCAAAAGAATAGAGTAAATTGACAAATACACAGAAGTAATAGAAATACATATCGCGTGTCATATATTCATTTATTCACGATATTTTCTCACCATTTGCTGAAATTATCCGGCTTCTAGCGAGATCAGACTTGTTGGCGACGACGATGACCGATCGTTCCTGAGTATAATGTTCTCGCCACAAGTAGTTTAGTATCTCCTCGGCCACTTGGAAGCTCGTACGCGAAACAATTGAATAAACCACGATGCAGGCATGTGGCTCATACGTCGACAAGGAATTCTCCACCTGAGGGGTTTTCGAAGTAACTTTTTATTCGCGTCTCTGACGTTAATAACAGAGTAGAATTGCAGAATGATTTTATATTAAGAATATAATAAATTCTTTTTATTATTGAATTACAAATAAAATATGTTTTCTGCATCGACCAAAGAATCTTTTGTAATCGAGAATATTAGCTTTCACGATATAAGTTTTAATATTAGTCGGTTTATATTCATTCGTAAAAAACAAATACGATGTAAGAACTCACCCCAGATATTCGCGATTAAAAAACGTGAATTACGTTTTATAACTTTCACAATATATTCATCTCCGACGATTACTCGCGCGAAAAATATGGAGAATTGGGAAAATGCATGAGGCTTTAAAGTTCGAGCAAGTTGAAACTGTATGCGGTGCATACGAGAGTCCCTTAATAGAAAAATGGTACTATAAGTTGCGATACTTTGTAAACAAGGCAGCAAACTCGAAGGCAGAGTGTTTAGTGAAAAAAGTTGCCGAACTTTAACAGTATTGCGGTTTATATTGTTCTCTTTATTGGCTAGAAACAACCGCAGAATAAATAATCTGAAGCTATCGAATGCTTCAATTATGCGCGATTTAAAGTTTGTACAACAACGTTTTACACTTAAAGTGAGCAACTTTTAATCAACCAATTTCGGAATTGATCTTAAACAGTCAGAACACAAAGAAACAAAGAATTGCTTCATTAGTTACAAAATATCTTGTTATATTAACATATATATATATATATATATATATATATATATATATATACATATATACGTCTCTTCTTGGTTATTATACATATATAAGTATATTTTGACATATTACTATTTAAAATAGATGAACTGGAGAAATTAGATACACGTAAGTACACGCAAAAAAATTTTAGTTGATGCAATCAAATAGGAACCAACTGAAAATTAGGTGATCAGAAACGAATCTCTGTTATGAAAACTAATATTTCTGTTATCGTAACCGAAAATATTCGTCTGAACATTCAACGATATTAGAACTCGGTTGAGGCAACTAAGAACAATTGACTATACAGAAGCCTAAAGGAAATTTTTTAAAGGAATTTTTCTGTTCCTACAGCCGAGTTTTCGTCTGATCCCTGAGCAACCGAAAATTCGGTTGCTTCAACAGCAATTGTTTTTTCCATGTAGATAAGTAAACTGTTTATTCATTATTAGTTCATTATAAGTCAACATCAAATAATCAACAGAACACAGCTTTTTATAATTTTTTAAATATAATCAGTTATAAATAATTAGTTTAAAAATGCTAGACTGATAAAATTTTTTAAATAAAATCGAATCATTAACGGAACTTAAAAGCAATGAAAAATTAATATAAAATGCGTAATAATATAATTTTATATTACTTATATATTTTACTTTATATATAATAAATCGGGACAAATGACATCCAACCTAGAGTACGGATATCTTTATAAAAGGCAGAAAAAAGAATATCCAGTAAAATTTAAATTGGTTGATCACTCTATTTATACTTCTTGCGCAATGAAAAATATCTTTACACCATTGTCAAATGTTCCGTACCGATATCGCCGCTTACGATTATGCCCGAATTGTATGTATTTTTCTTTTATTCTTTTTATAGGAAAGTAACGAACTGCGCGTACACAAAAACAAGTAACTCCATAGCCGCGATATTAAAGTTATGATCCTTGTGTTCCTCGACGTTACATCTCGCTACACGAAATACGCATTATCGCACGCTGAGCGGACGTAGACAGCTCAAGGAATCCTGTGGTACAGATTGAGGAAGTCGATTGAATGGATACGCTGGAAAGTCAAAGTATTGTTCCAAAGAGATTTCGTTCAAAACTCACTTCTACGAGGCCAAACTTCGCGATAAAGTTAATCCCGTTTGCTACAGCTCGATATAGATATACATTTCTAGACGCCCACGTGTACATTTAAAAAGCTCACAGCGTTTGCTACATAAAAAAAGCAACAAAATAATAAGTGCAAAAATATAATATAAAATACATATTAAATAATATATATTATAAAATATAATATAAAATATATATTATAGCTTTTTACATTTATAATAGCTTAGCATTTATAAACTCAGATATGTATAATAATTTTGAAGTGTGTAATAATTCTGTATCACGCTTTATTAAATACATAACTCTATATGTTATATTATACACTTCTTACATATTTGACACAGATTTATTTTTACTTATAAGAGGAACATGTTAATCTTTTGACGTCATTCTGATTATTTAATATATTGATGGTAGTGATTTTAATACACGTGTATATTGCTAAAACTCGTGATTAATACTGCAGAGTGATTTATAACTTTTGTGGAATTCCACAATGACGTAGGACCATAAATCTCTATTCCTGGAAATATATTTCGTCACGCGCGCCATGGTTAATGCCGCAAATTGCAAAAGGTTCGTCATTAACTTCAACAAAATTACACGGAATCTCGATGGTCCAACAATTACTAAAGGTAGTTGCTCCTGCGGAGCAATTCCCGAGCTCTATCTTTGCCCCAAATTTCTCGCAATTTCTTCCGCGCGTTTCGTCGAACACTCGTCCCGAGCTTAGGGCTATCACATATTTTAAATTACCGTCTCCTCAATTTCGTCTCTCTATCTCGTTCTAACTTCTTTCATCGCTACCTAATCTTACCGTACAATTATCGCATGACAAATTGTTTTTGTTATAGAGGTGATGCAAAAAGGAATTAAGAGACCTTCCGACAGGGTGGAGAATAGTTTCCACCAGAGCGCCACTGACACGAAGAAATATTGCGCACTTAATCTTAAACTTTATGGAATTAAATCAAACGTCCAGGGGAATCGCGTTACAGTGAAATTCACGAGTAAACCTATACAAAGTAGAACAATTTAGTGTAAAAATAATTTAGTGTAAGAATAGTGCAAGAATTAGTGTAAAAATATCTGAGGCAAAAGAGATATATTTTACAGGACATTTATCGTTAGACCCTTTTATCAACCGTTGTAAAAAAAACGGAGCCCAAATGAATATTTGATAACGTTAATAGTAATAACTACTTCACATACATTAGTCAGAATACAGTAGTCGGAAGATCGATAGAGCGCAAAAAGCCAAACACCAAAGTGAATAGCAAGTGCAGAGTCCTGTATGTCCCTTCGGTATTATACTCTTCAATTATGCGACAGCAATTAATTATATTGCGCTGTTCACATGAATTCCAGAAAGAGCCGTATCGCAAGAATTGCGAGAGAGATAATCGAACGTGGCGACATTATTAATCAACTCGGGCGAAAAGAAATTTATCGAGCGATAAGCCGACGCGTCTCATAGCATTTGCACGATAAAAACCATTATATGTCATCATATAGGATATTCCCTTGCACATTTGCATTGATAAACGAATTTACGCACAGCAGCAAATAATCTCTATACAACGTATCGACTCGCGATAGGAGTATTTTGTGCGACACAAAGGAAACGCTTTGAACACATGTGTGGTCGTTTAAACTAAGATAATCAAACCGTAGCGACCGATATTCATTCAAAATTGGGATTATACAAATGATCTAATGCTATGTACAGGGAGTTGCATCAGCATACACTGATAGATCAGTGTGATTGGTAAAACGGTTTGCAACACCTTTTCATGTTTCTTTTGATAACAGAAATTTGAATATGTATCGTTTTGTAAGCGATATACCGTCAAGTTCGAACTGAGTCTGTTTTCGAACATGCACACCTGCAAGCGAAACGAGTAAACAACCCGTCATATTGACCAATATGCAACATTCTGTGCACGCAGAAAATATTGAAGTAAAAATTACGTTAAAATTATATATTTTTTACAATGTTTCTTGTACAGCTGGACTATACCGGAATTGTAATATATAAAATAACTATAGAAATGGTAAATTTGATATACGATATCAAAAAACATTAAAGTAATTACAATAACTTTGTAGTAAAAAATCAAACGCGCATAATCAATATATAATTTCGATAATAATTTATGTGGCCCAAGATTACAAAACTTTTGTTGTAATTTTTACTACGGTATTTTGTTCGTGTAAGGTTCTTAGAAACTATGTAAGTTTTAATAATTGTATAATTATATAAGAAGTTACATAAGATTAGCTAAACTTTTACACGGGAATATGACGCAAAATATCGTACAAATTTCTACGTCTTACTTTGCATAAAGACTCATCGAACGTTTTGAAATGAATGGTAAAACGAAACTTCCATTCTTATAAATGATTTAAAAAAAACATAGATTATAATAAGACTATTTGTAGATAAAGAAGAAAAAGAAAATCGATTCACACTGTCAGGCAAGCGTTCTTGTTCGTGTAAAGGACAATATGCTCCAGCGTTTCTTATAAGGATATACAACATATGTTTGCTGCTGCGTTTTCTCATGTCAATATTGTACGATGTATTGTCTTATACAAAGTACTTTTTTTAAGGATATATGTGCAACTTACTGCATACTTATGTGCATAAATACTTACGCTCATCTCTACATGTGGATGATCGATGAACACCATTTCCGATTCCTCGCCATCCAACAAGATGGAGACGGTCTTCTCGCCGAACTCGTCGTCTGTAATATAAAGGCAAAGGTCTATGCTGAATGTTGACCCGTGAATATTCATGTCTGCCACTCGTCTATTGAAAATTACGAAAGATTTTATTTGCATTTATTCCCGACCTTCTGTTATGTACAAATATCCATTTACGAGCACGCATTTACGTACTAGTTATTCAATATGAATTTGTGCGTTTATTTGTATTCCGTAACGAAAATATTCACGAATTAAACTAATTGATCGTCAATTAGAAATGTTGTGTAAATCTCTCTCTCTCTCTCTCTCTCTCTCTCTCTCTCTCTCTCTCTCTCTCTTTGCCCTTCCTCTCCCTCTCTCCAACTCATTTGATAAAACTGAAAAGAGCATAACCATAAGTCAAGCACAATTGCTCACTTTGATACAATAAATATTTACTTTAATGCGCAACATTAATTTTTCGCAGAAAATAAGTTCGACAATGAAAGACCTCGTTGCGAGACTACTTCTCATTCGATAGATCAATTATCAACTTCGACTTCATTTTACGTATTACTATATAACGTGGTAACAAGTTTCACCAAGTTGACCACACACAAGTTAATCTCGTCAAACTGTAAATGTCATCATCCCGAATATGAGCTACTCCGGTAAAAATTTTAATGACCTTTATGTTGCAATTCTAAACAAATATATAAATAAATCATAAAATCGTAAAGTCATAGCTTTCGAAAAAAACAAAAAAAAATCGTAGATATTTACGAGTTATCGTATGACATACAATCCGCATAGAATTGCAAATCTACTCATAAGTTCTTACAAGTCTTATGAAAATATTACGATATAATAAGTTACGAGTTTTACGACTTTGTCTAGAGTTGTAATATTACTTCACTTCACTAAGGTTGTGCGAAATAATACTCGGTTCTGAACTCGGCTTCTGCACTCGATGCAAATAACCGTTTACGGAAAAAACGTGGTTGTGTTAAAATTTAATATTAATGATATAATGATATCACCATAATTCCAAATCGTAGTAACACTTTTTCTCGATTAGTTTTGCAACGCGTATTCCGTATTCCAATAAGAAAGCGAATCTTCTGCGAATTACTAACAAGGACCCTCACATAGATATTTAGCTCCGATTTGGAATATATTATAATCAGATATTTGAAAGTGGTAAAGTGGGGGGGGGGAGGAGAGGCATATGCAGGCAATCATAACATTTTTCAAATATCTGATTTTGTCATTGCAAAATACTCCTAAAACCATTTAATTTTTGTCTAGACAATTTTTTTCTATCTCTTATATTTTTGACGAAACATGCTCCTAAAGAAAAAAATCGATTTTTTTCAAAGGGATGTTTTGTCCCTTAAAAGTTCACCTAAACACGAATAAAAAATATGTATCTCTTCTTTTGGTCTGAATATATTTAAAGGAACAATATATATTCAAGCTCATCCAAATCGGAGCTAAACACCTATATGGGGTTCCTTGTAACAAACGAATTACTAACCTAACAATTTTTCCATTGGATGCATTACGAAGTTCATCGAGAAAAAGTGTTGCTACCTTTAATCAGCCAACTGTACTTTTGCACACAGCCTCACTTCGCACCAATCGAATAGAAATGAAAGCATTACTCTCTGTCTGTCCGATCTCGTTTGATCAACTGAAATATATATAGCTCGCCGTCGACAAGCTTTATATCTCAGCATGGAGAGTTTTTCCCGCGTGTACAATATAATTACATAATCATAAATATTTAAATAAGATATATTTACGCGATGAGAGTGATTATAAGTTTGAATAAGCGAGCCGAGTTTCAAGTAGGAAGTTCGAACTGGCTCGATATCGTTGATGCACAACGGAAATTCGACGATTCGTCACACGCAAGTTTGGATATCATTAATGAGTCCAGGCTACCACCTACATTTACAAACGTACATTTATTACTTTCGCTCGCGGATGCAGATCAACAAGCTGCTCTCATAATTTGAATCGTAACAAGTTCTCAAACAATGTTCATTAATCGGACAGCATTAGCATGTATCGGGTGAGCGCTCGCGTGTTGTAAATAAATTAAAATTCGCTGTATGCGTCGCAGAAAAATCAATTCCTTCCCAGATAATTATTTTTCCAAAATTATTAATATTTCATGATAAATATACTCTTTGAGAAATATATTCTTTGCGTGACTTTTTCTGGCGTAAAAGGTAAGACTTAAGATGATTTAAAGCCGCATCGGAGGTTTCTTACAAATGCATTTATCTTTACACAAAGCAATCCCCTCAATTGTACACTCTCAAAGCTGAAACATGAATTAAAAATCCGTGCGAAAGGAAAAGAAGTTCCGATGCTAAACAGCAGCACTGTTATCGCCCACCGCATTTTCTATTTTCACGAGTTTGCTGCGCAGATAAATCACAAAAATTACAGCGAAACGATAAAAACAACGGCGCACTACCAGCGAATATAAAGTAAACAAATGCTAAAAAACAGTGTTTTGTGAAACCAACTCTCTGTAAGATGAAAAAAATTCCCTGCTATGTTTTTACCACGAGGAAAATATGGCTCATTGATTTTTAGTTCGTTAAATACACAGGAATACATTATCCAGGCGAAGTCGCCTCGCGCGATGCGTCACAATGCCGCCGTTTATACATTAAAATCATTTCGTTCACATGTCCGTCGTAACGTGGACCATGACAAATTTCCTTGGATCGTTAGATAAACATCCTGCTTCTTCCCTTCGCAACATCCTGCTTTTCTCAGGAAAGCGAATCCATCACTGCCCACCAAAGGATATCTCCTTCTCTTTCTTCTCCTTCAGGTGGCGATGAATTGAATTTATTTGTGACAGAATATCTGTGAAGTATCTCGAGTCGACGATGGGAGATAAATGAACAGCGAGAGAGGAAAGAAGGAGGGAAAAAAGAAAAAGAAGGAGAGAGGTTGTTCTGAGGTTGTTCTAAGTGAAGCAATGAAAGCGAAATGAACATGTAATTTCCACTAAGCTAACAGCGGATTAAAGGTATGGTATTATATATCTCAACCTTGATTTCAAAGACAAACTCTTAGAATGGTTCCCTTGACAATCTCTGTCAGCAGAATTGTTCCGTGAAAGTTCAGCTGTTCAGTTATACCAGTGTCAAGTGTCGAGAAACACGTCAGGTGAAAGAGGAACGACACGTCACACAACTTTCGCTTGCACGTTCCTTTCCACAAATAAACTCAAAGAGAAGTCTCAACAACTACTTAAGCAACTACTTAAAATAAAATTAGCGCGTTAAATTGATAACCCCGAAACGTACGCCGGAGTGCAGAGAGAAATCCTCGAGAATCCGCGAGAGATAGTTAAATCAGTGTTGAAGTAAAAGAAAAACTCACTTTGATTCGCTTTGAGTTGTGTCGTCAAATTTTGCCGTATTTTCATTTCATGATACAACTATCTTGGAACGTAAACACACTTAACAGCCTTAATAGCCTTAAAGACATAAGTTTTAACACGTGAATTTTCACGATGAGTTTTCCATCGAGTTTTTCACGATTAGAGTTTTCCATGAAAAATACATATTATGCGCTCTGTAGAAAAGTATGCATTAAAGCTGTTATTATGCTGATCTGTATAAGCGAGTGGATAAGCGCGCAAATATGTGGATAAAACGACTTACGCGTAATTTGACAGTGAATCGTACAACGTGGCGCTTTCGAGCAACGTGTACATATCGAGAAGACATTACGGCGAGAGATGAGGAGCGGGAAAGGTGGATCCTCGTGTGAACTCGGCGCACCACCCCGCCGCGCCAAACGTTCTTGCACGTGGCGTTCGTGCACGTGTATGACCGTCCGCGATTGCACGAAGGAAGGAATGAATATATGAAATGGGACGCATTGTGCGCTTGAAAACCCACCTCGAAACGATTGCAGCCGGGCTGCACAATGTGCACCAGCTGCAATTGCACGAGGGTTGCGCGCCCACTTCGCACGCGGTGTACGTTCCAAAGCCTCGCAAAAATGTAGACCGAGTACAAAGTGGACTTTTTTCCGCCTCCTCTTTATCATTAACCACCTCCGCTTTTTAAACCACATTCTGAGAGTGGGCGTAGTGGTGTGTTTGCGCCGTGCAAATCCACGGTGTGCGGGGCGTCATGTGTCTTTGAGCGCACTCGCGCCGGGAAGTTACTTTTAATTCGCTAATTAATTGATTCAGGGAAAGTTAATTAAACAGCAAGCACGCCGTTTAATGCGAGACTGCGTGCAAAATGTATAAATCAGAGCTAAATATCCACAGGACCAAATTTGTTAGTATCGTAGCAAGAAAAAGAGACAGGATAAAAGCGCTTGAACCAATTCGAATCTCTTTTTCTTCTCCTCCCCATCCTATCCTAATTTAATTCTAGTTTTTGATAAGAAAACATTACAAAAAATTAAAATGTTTTAATAAAGAGAAAAAATGAAAGTGAAAGAGGAGAAAACCGTTTTCTCTTAATTATCCCAAAGTGTAAATGTACTCGCAGGATACGCGTTAAAATGTGTAAACTGAAAAAAGCACGCACTAAATAAAGAATAATCATATTTTTTTTCTATGTATGCATATATTATATGTTTGTATTAATAACCTTTATATAAAAAATAAAAAATAAAATATATATTACATATCATATTTTAAAAAGAGAGAATCAAAAATATATTATATATTTATATTGATATAATCATATACATATGCGATAAATGATTTATCGAATATTAATAGAGTATGTTTGCGAGGTTGCACAAATCTTTCCGAAAGGTGACACAACATTGCTCACCGTGCAAGGGTGCACAGACTCACCTAGACTGGCGTCGTACGTGTTCATGTATTCGCTCGTCATGAACTGCGAGACTAGAGCCGTTTTTCCCACTCCGGAATCTCCCAGCAAGACAACCCTGTACTTCGTCACTTCGTCGATGTCGCTTTCACTGCTGGCGCCTTGTCCGCTGCAACAAGAGCCCTCGAACGGTGATCTCTCGCCTGATACATTGCTATTCCTGCGAACAGAATAAGAAAACAATTTAAAAAATATCCGGAACTGTAAATGTCACATAAGTAGAAAAGTCGCACGAGAAAAACCCACTTTCGTAATTACTGTTCACTAAAAAATACATTCGTATAAAGCACATTCGCGTTCCGAATCGTAAATTTTCTTGCAAAGGCGCTTTACGGTGCCGTTAATCTTGCCACGCGGAACTCTTTTTTAATAATATGATTATTTTGAGAATATGAAGCTCTTATATACAGTCCCTCTTCTGTGGCGAGTCTTCGTCTCGACGATGTCCCACTTGTCACATTATTTAAATTAATGCAGAATTACTTTCCTTTTCCTTGTTTCTGTGTTGTGTCAAGAATATGCAAAATACGTTCTCGTTGGTATTCTCGTCGCTATATTTGTCTTTTCCCTTCATATTTTATGCAAATTCGTCCGCGAAAAGCCTTCGCAAATGCATAGCGTAATCGCGTGAACGTCCTTTGTACATCAAATAATAATTAAAGTTACGACAATTTTTCATTTATGATAATCCATCGTCATGCTATCCTTTTCAATCTTCTGTGATATGTTTTGTATACTCTCTCTATCTATATTCATGTCAGATGATTTAATATTTCATGTCAGATGATTTAATTATTACACAAACACGGACAAATGTAAAGTATGATTAAATATATAAAAATGAATATTTAAAATGTGATATATTATTTTTTTAGGCTTTCTTTCTTTTTAATTAAAATTGCAGAGAGGGAGAGAGAGAGGGAGAGAGAAAAATATCAAATTAAATTTATTGCCACGTAACGAATATTAAAAAATCACTTTCGAAGATTGATAAAAGCGAAACTAGGATATAAACGAGAGCGATGGAAAAAGTTAGAAAAAAAGAATTAATATCTATGATGAGAGAGAGAGAGAATTTAAAAAAATGGCAGAATATGTCGCACAAAGTACACGAAATATATTTCGAAATTTGTTATTAGATACGTAATATATAATGCGTTCGGCACATCCCTTTGAATAATTATAACAACAAATACTGTCAGCTTCGGAATAAGCTCCAGCTGGCGTGTGCATTTATGTACATGTAACGATTACATGTGACGTCATTGGTCGTACCTATATCTCAACTTGAAACGAGCCGCCGGCTTTGGTATGCTGTAATAATTATCGCGTTTCAGAGCTGCCTGCTCGTGTACAATATCAATACGGTGGATTTCGGCATCCCTTAATGGCGAACAAGCTAAGCCAGCTTAACTCTGATAAGTTCGCAAATTACGTATGTCAACCGTAATAAGCGCGCAGCGACGATACACAGTCTCTCGGGAAATTGTATCAAATTTTTTAAACGCTGATTTAACGTCAGCTTTAACGATACCAAAAAGACGACAAAGTTTTCATTACTGAGGAATTTTACACACGAAAGACTATCGACTATGCATTGGAGCACTTTACGTCGGTTTATGTGTGTGTATATGTGTGTGCGCGCGCGCGTGAATATGTAGACGAATTCATCGCATAACTCTGAGTGATCAAATAAAAATAACGAAATCTAAAAAGCGATACAAATCGGTTTATCAATAAGTGGCTTACTTGTTAAAGTCGCGCGTATTTATAACGCGTTCTATGTACAAGTTATCGCTTAAAATGAGACAAAGTCTCAGGAATAAAACTGTATTTATGTCCGAGCTTCTTCGATGGATTTATTTTTATCTATATTATCTAGCGCTCGTTTGCAGTTGAAAAAAAGTCAAAAATAGAGTCAAAGACGTCCGTTATTAGAAAAAAAAACTATCATTAGTGTTTTAAATCATTCGTTATAAATTATTCGTTTGAAGTCCCTTAGAAATGCTTGTTCCATTAAGCGCGACAAAGATAAAGATCTGTTTTTTATTAAAAGTATCAATTTCTGAAATTTGATATAATGAGTAAAGTAAAAGTACCAATATCCGGATACATACCTAATTTTGGATATTTTTATTGTAATGGTCTTTAAATACGAATATTTAAAGTTTTAATATAAAATAGTATATATAGTATATATATATTGTATATATATTAGTATATATAGTATATTATATTATATTATAATATATTATATTATATTATATTATATTATATTATATTATATTATATTATATCATAATATAGTATATTAATATATATATATATATATATATATATATATATATATATATATATATATATTGAACATATTTTCTGTATTGAAAGTTTAAATATTCATATTTTAAGGCTCATGTGTCTTCACCGCGGCCATCTTAATTAATCTTATGTCAGAAAAACGAGAAAATCCCAAAATCCCCAAAAAAATGAAAAGTTCCCAAAATTCAAATAAATCAAACGCATACCTTTGAAATTGTGTCTCTGCATTGTACAAAACATCGTGAATAATGCAACTAATCGAATTAAATGTCCATGATTGTTCTATCTTCTGTAAAAAGAAAAGAGAACAAACACATATCAAAAGACACTAACATTCCAGGTGTTACCGATCCTATAAAGACGTAAAAGTTCTTTCTGAGAATTCATTGTCTAAAGCCTGACAACTGTATTTTATTATCAACCACTACATCGTAACTACAAGACAATCCCGACAGATTCGAGGAAACAGAAAATCTTCCGATTTTACGACGTACTTTTCGGCAATGTCCAAATAAATTACGCGTACAGACAGATTGGATATCCACGCCACATCTCCGAAGGTTAGCAAGGTTACATTATTGTTGAAAAACGTCGAAAAACATCGAAAGTAACATAAAATAAATCTTTGTCATACGAACGTAATCTCAAGATCGCCTTTACCTCTTATCCTTTATCCTGATCCCTTATCTCTATTCGGCCCACGTTGCTAATCTTTCAGAACACTACTTTCTCTACATGACTCGTGGATTTGTCGGGAAATAAGTTATGTCGGTGATATGAAGATTGACGTTAAACAGGAAGCGTTCGGGATGTTTCCCCGGCGAAACAATCTTTTCCTTCGGTGAAAGCAATTTTTCTGCCCGCGGCTTCATATCGTCCATGCATTCCCCATCGTCCTCGCAATATCACTGATCTTTCCGAAGGCATAACTGACATTCTATTACTCATACACAACAAGCTATCCGGAGTAAATATAACTCGTCGTAAATCAATATTAAGAGGTTAGGCTACCTTGGAAGGCCCAGAACATAGGTGAACTTTGGGAGTATTTTTTAGCGCAACGAAAGTGAAGTATCTTTAAACAATAAAATTATTTGTATAATACATCACGGCCGCTCAGTGTTGCGGTGGCGGTTGCGCTCAAACTAAGCGCTCAAATCACGGCCGTGATTTTCGATAATTTTAACGATAATTTTAACGAATAATTTCGATACGTTCGAATTAATTGTAATCCATCTTCAAAACAAGCTCGAGACTTTGATGTTTCTATTTGGAATGAAAGATAAAGGAAAATTTTTTTTCAAAAATCTCCTTGCTAGAAACATCCGTGACGAACATTTTAAGTCTAAGTTCATTAAAATCTGTTAAAAATCTCACGAGAAATCGTGTATATATTTGTGTCCAAATTACATACACACACACATACACACACATATATATATAATCATATATTAATCATATATTAATTCCATTCATTCTTAAAAATATAACGTCCGAGAGTTGTGGATATATTTTCTCACTTTTGCTTATAAGAAATACAAGAATATGCTGTTTAAAGTAAGAAATGATTTCACGAATCTGCCAAAACGATATATTTCAATGACTCATGCGAATTAATGCTAAATCGAATCTCTCCAATATCACTTCGAGCGAGACGTGGAGGCAATGCTTTTCCCGGTGATTTCACATGAATGCACTCCCTCCGTGGGAGGGAGGGGGTATCGACGAAAGTCGTGACTCGAACCGGCGGACGATCTCCCGGAATACCTAACAGCACGAAGGGTAATGGCACGGAACTGCTCGCATTCAGTGAAACCTTCGATCAAGCCTCGCAAGTAACGCGTCGACTCAGTCGTTCGCCGCAGCTGCCACATCAACTTTTCCTCCAATTAAATTTTAAGACCGCCGCGAGTACGTTAAATAGTCCCGAACCCTTCGCCATAAACGCGACAAATGAGTCGGCAGAAAAGGCCGAGTTTCCGTTAGGTGGCGGATCTTCGTTACTCCTCTGATAGGCTAGAGATTCGTATGTTATTAGGGAGATCATTAAACATGTACGCTACAAATGGGAGAAAATGTGCTCGCGCACGCACACTTGCGATCAGGCTCCGGCACGTTGGTCCCTCTCTGTACTTACTTCATTTATTCGCGAGGAAATATCGCGTTGTTAAATTTTAACAAAGGGATAAGTGGATAGAGGGATATGCTACATAACGGAAAAAACGTATTTTTGGACGGAACGAAAGTGTCACGTATTTGTACGTGACACATTCACGCAACATATAATATTAACACAGCAGGCAGATTTGTAAATAAAATAAACCTGATTAAGTAATAATTTTCGATAAAAAGAATTTCTCTTTTAACATTTATCTCATTGCTCAATTTCCGTCTTCTATATCATCTTGGTCCAATTACCCATTTAATTCAAAATAATGTAATTATAGAAATACTGTCCTTTAATCTTTCTACAATCAAAGAGGCAGTATTTCTCTTGCGCATGGAACGGGCCGTAAAATAAAATCCCTATGATTTCCCGTGGGTGCATCATTTCAATGAATCCATTTCGCCATGCGCAACACAACGGACCGTTACAGTGGAAATTGTCCCTGCAGCTCCAATAGCAAACGAAAAAGTGCCTTTTTATAAGCGAAGCCACCTGTCAGGAATGTTGGATTTGTCGGGCAGCGTTGCAAATATAGAAACAATTCGTCCCAAAATTCACCGATCGACCTTGAAATCCAATTAAAAGCGATGGCCATGTCATTGAATGCACATCCGTTTCACCAAAAAAAAAATAATGCGTTTACGAGATAGCCACTTTGTTGATAGCGATTACTA